CCACATTTTTCTCGGTCCATGGATCTGAATTTTGCTAATCCTTTTAAGGGGAATGATGATACTGTCTATGAACAAGACATTCTGCGCGACCCGCACAGCATTACGCCCTGGCTGTCTTATATTGAATTCAAGCACCAGCAAGGCAATTCCTATGAACAAGCCTTTGTACGTGCACATTTTATATCTCCATCTCCTCTTAGAGTAACTCAGGTGGCTAATAACGTTGATAAAGGTCATGGAACGGGCTTGCAGGCAACTGCCCAGGTCATATAAATTGTGGAAAATGGTAAGCTCAGCTTACACTCCCTCAATGTCGGATACCAGCTCACTTTGTGCTCCTTTTTGTTCTTCTTAGTATCTTGAATTCCGTATGAAGCACCTCAGAGGTCGGAATCCATCGATTCATCGAGCGGAATATCTCAAAGTCAATGGCCTATTCGAACGCGCTGTCATCCTCCTCAATAAGATGCCGCGAATATGGGAGATGTTTCTCACATTTCTACTTCAGCAGCCAATGATCACACACACCCGCCGGACTTTCGATAGGGCACTACGCGCGCTACCAGTTACTCAGCATAATCGGATTTGGAAGCTTTACAAGGCCTTCGCTTACTCAGCGTCTGGAGACACTGCGATAAAAATCTGGCGTAGGTACATGCAAGTCCATCCCGAGAACGCCGAAGAATATATCGATATCTTGGTTGAGATGGGTAAATACACCGAAGCCGTGAAGAAGTACATGGAAATTCTAGATAATCCTATATTTCAGTCGAAGAACGGGAAAAGCCAGTTTCAATTGTGGACTGATATGGCTGAGCTACTTGTCAACAAAGCAAAGGATATTGAAGTCGGCCCTGAGATTGGTATTGATGTCGATTTGATCATTCGCAGTGGAATCGATAGATTCGCTGACCAGAGGGGAAAGCTATGGGCTGGCTTGGCTACCTATTGGATTACCCGCGGAAATTTCGAAAAGGCGAGAGATATTTTCGAGGAAGGGATCACAACCGTTATGACTGTTCGGGATTTTACTCTGGTATTCGATGCCTATGTGGAATTTGAAGAATCTATCATAGGACATCTGATGGAGGAGGCAGCTTTACGATCTGACCAGGGAAAAGTTGATGAGGCCGCCGATTTCGATCTAGACCTTCGAATGCTGAGATTTGAACAACTCATGGATCGCCGACCTTTCCTCGTCAACGATGTGCTTCTCAGACAGAATCCCAACAATGTGATCGAATGGAGTAAACGTGTAGCGCTGTGGGGTGATAATAAAGCCGAAATTGTTCAAACATACACGAAGGCCATTGCAACTATCCATCCTAAGAAAGCCCATGGCAAGTTCCACGAGCTTTGGGTTAACTATGCGAAATTTTATGAACAGGGTGGAGATCTCGATACAGCTAGGGTAATTATGGACAAGGCCGTCAAGGTGCCTTTCAAAACGGTGGCCGAACTGGCTGAAACATGGTGCGAGTGGGCTGAGATGGAATTGCGCAGCGAAAACTTTGACAGAGCCGTGGACATCATGGCAAAAGCGACACAGGCTCCAAAGCGATCTACGGTAGACTACTTTGATGAAACTCTCTCACCCCAACAACGGATCCACAAGAGCTGGAAGTTGTGGAGTTTTTATGTCGACCTTGTCGAAAGCGTTGGGACTCTCGAAGAAACGAAGAAAGTGTATGAACGTATTTTCGAACTGCGAATTGCAACACCACAAACGGTCGTTAATTATGCGAACCTCTTGGAAGAAAATAATTACTTCGAGGAGTCTTTTAAAATTTACGAGCGGGGCCTTGACCTCTTCAGCTACCCCGTTGCCTTCGAATTGTGGAATCTATATTTAACCAAGGCTGTGGATCGCAAAATCTCAATCGAACGATTACGAGACTTGTTCGAACAAGCCGTTGACGGATGCCCACCCCAGTTTGCGAAGCCTCTCTACTTGATGTATGGCAATCTAGAAGAAGAAAGAGGGCTTGCTCGACACGCCATGAGAATATACGAACGCGCAACTCGTGCGGTCGCTGACTCCGACAGATTTGAAATGTTCAACTTCTACATCACGAAATCGGCCTCCAACTTCGGATTGACATCAACGCGCCCTATCTACGAGCGCGCCATCACAGCGTTGCCGGACAACGAGGCAAAGGAAATGTGCCTCAAATTTGCTGAGATGGAGCGTCGTCTGGGTGAGATTGATAGAGCTCGTGCCATTTACGGCCATGCATCTCAGTTCTGTGATCCGCGTACCAATGCCGGGTTCTGGCAAAAATGGGAGGCGTTCGAAGTTCAGCATGGCAACGAAGATACATTTAAGGAAATGTTGCGCATCAAACGAAGTGTCCAGGCCCAGTACAAGTATGTTTTTACCTTCAATCCCGCTACCCTTTTTGACTGCTCCACGTTTGTTTTACACGTTAAACTAATACTAAACCTTGCAGTACCGACGTCAACTTCATTGCTTCACAAGCCATTGCTCGTAGCAAGCAACTTGTCAAAGACGCTGCGGGGGCTGAAGAGGAGGGCCAAGACCGTGCTGATGCGATGGCAGCGTTGGAAAGACAAGCTCGAGCACCCATGGGTTTTGTTCCCGCAAGCACCGGACCGGAAGGAGGAAACAGGCCATTGCCTACTAATGGTAACAAACAACAAGAACAACAGCAGCAAGTTCCTGCAAACCCTGATGCTATTGATCTCGATGAAGACATGAATGGAGAAGGTTAAGAAAGTGTCATAAGAAACCTAACACAGAGATACCCCTTTATTGTCTCATTTACCCACCACATTTCAGCTTTACCTGTTATCTCTTTACGCGGACTCAGCTCTGCATTCGCGCAATGAATACACTATATGTTAGCCACTTCCCTCTTTCATGCTGAATTTCTTTTGTGTCACTAGGTGCATCCGGGAACGGCTTTATAAGTTGCAACTCCGACCATTATCTCGATCTGTTTTCTTTTTAAAATGTACTCTTTCCATCCCCACGGTCCTTGACAAATTTGCTTTCCCTTTGTATTATTTCTTATTTCATTGCTCGCTTCCGCATTCCGACCCAGCCACATAGTCTACAATTTAGCCTAGGTCAATGCCTTGGCGTTCCCCCTTTTCAACTTGGGATCAGCCAGCTGCAAAATGACATTGGCAAGGAGATAGAGAGACGGGGAAAAAGTTTTTATTTCTTCCCACTGGAGTTTGTCGGTGTTCGTGGGGTGAATAGACTTGGGGTGGGCGACTTGCCATTTCTTCTTGATTGAACATATTTTTGAATCTTCTCTTCCATCCTTGCCTCTCTCCTTCCTTTATATAAAATCAATTTGCATGATCATATTTCAGAAAGCAAATATGTATTAGAGCAATATGAGCAGTTGACTTTTCCATCTCTGTGTGTTTTTATCAATTCCTACATCGTATCTGTTATCCGAACACCTTTCTGGGAGCAACTTGTGCAGGCACTTCTACGTTTGATAAGGTCCATGTCCACGGATTTACAGAAGGTATAACCTGATTAATATTTCAGAGGGCGATTGGTTGACCCATCGTTACTCTACGGGGCACTCTGGAAACCGTCCTGGCTCCTTGTGAGTAGAGTGACTCCGAGTCTGCGAGTGTTTTTTCAGGCTTGCTTGGCGACATTAATTGAACAAGGCGGGATGGGGGTTCTTGTATTCCCAATACTTACCAACCAGCACATGAAACTTAGGGGCTCAACTGCTGCGGAGGGGAAATAAAAAACAAGAAGTAGTATACCATGGATAGAGGTAGTCCTGTTCCAGGGTCTCGTTTCTCACCCTCTACTTCTAATCGCGGAGGTCAGACAGGATGTGAGAGGGTTTTTTGGGACAGTTGAAGTTAAAAAGAAAAATCCCATTATGCCTTCGAAAAAAAGTGACCATACGTGGCTGAAGATATTTGGGATATTTTCTTCGGAAAAATTTCTTATGAGAGAAGGTTTTGAAAGTAGCTGAAATTATGTCTTCGAGTTAGCGGTCTTACTTTAACATTTTCCTTTGAAGGGGAGA